ACCGACTACCACTACTACCATGACACCGACTACCACTACTACCTTGACTCCGACAACCACAACTACCATGACTCCGAACACCCACTACTGCCATGACACCAACTACCACTACTACCATGACACCAACTACTACTAACATGACACCGACTACCACTACTACCATGACACCGACTACCACTACTAACATGACACCGACACCCACTACTACCATGACACCGACTACTACTAACATGACACCGACTACCACTACTAACATGACATCGACTACTACTAACATGACACCAACTACCACTACTAACATGACACCGACTACCACTACTACCATGACACCGACTACCATGGCTCCGACTACCATCACTACTACCATGATTTCGTCTACTTCTACCCCTATGATCCCAACTACATTCCAAGATATTACAACCCCTATACCGACTACCGGAATGTCTGCACCAGCCTTGACTACGCCTGTACAGAGCTGGGCACTACAGGATGGCCGTTACAATAAAGTATCCATCGAATCATTGTTAATAACGGATTCCACACCCGTACTTGTCAGACAAATGACGAATACAACGCCTATCAAATGTGCGATGGAATGCCAAAGGTACAGCGGATCATGCAATGGCTTTGCGTTTGTTGTCCAGAATGAGTCGTTGTCAATATGTGAACTGTACGATGATAGTCTGAGTGCATCCAACATAGTGACACGCCATGGTGCTGTATACTTTATGCGTGTTGTTTAGTTATATGAGTTCACTCATTGTAGAATTCAATAATGACGAATGTCAGAACACCAGAACAGTAATACAATTGGGCGACTGTGATAACGTTTGGTTTAAGGTAGCGAGACTATTATTTGCATACTTGTTTTCATCTTCTAATTGTGACCAAATGACTACAAATAGACCCAGGAAAGTATATATTTATGGAATCGCCAGACTTCAAGCTTTTCAAAGGTGTGTTTGCCATGCCCGTATCTGCATTCTACGCTGCGTTACTTAATCAAAAGTGAAAAATTACGTTTTTTGTAAAAAAAAAAAAAAAATAATTACGCATTTATGCTGGTGATAAGAAGTTTTTTTTTCACTTTTCCTAATTGTTCAATAGTCTGGTAAATTGAATGTGTCTGGTCAGTTTTATTCACGCAACGCGTTTTGAAAAGTAGTGTTCTGAATTTTAGTTTCTGTTTTAGTCGCATTGCCCCCAACTCAAACCACAACACATTGATGAATAATCCATGAAATAGTTTTTCTAGACACATTCAAGTTTCTCTCATTGTCACCTTAAAGCTGTGAAAAATTTGGTGTTAATCCGACGACAAAAA